GAAGGTCTCCACTGAGATACGAAAAGTGGCTCGCGGTTTATGCATTATACATGGGTGTGCATATAATCATACGCATATAAACACGTACGTACGTACGTACATACATACATACATACATACATAAATACATACATACATGTACGTATTATTTATGTACTTACGCATGCGCTCGCACGTACACACACACATATACATACAAATACGCACACTAAGATGGCTGGCCTCACGAACTCATCTCGCTAATGCGTCTTTGTACGACGCATTGCGCTTATTACCGAAGCATACAAGATGACAAGGCCACAAGAACTATCGTCGTCGTCGTCTCTCTCTCTCTCTCTCACTTCTATTTTTTCAAACTTATCATTACCTCTCCCACTTTCTGCCATTTCAAACGTACAAATTTCGATTTGTCGAATTACATGGGATTGTTCATTGACTTTCGTTAACATTTTCATATGGTATTTCTTTCACTTCTTAAATATTTCACTTTTTTTTCTTTTACTTCGGGAAGTAAAAGCGACGTCGTATCTCGAAAGAGAAGGAAAGAGAGAGAAAGAGAGAGAGAAAGAGAGAGAGAGAGAGAGAGAATTTGTAATTATTGTGCATCCAAGACGATAGACTGCACGTCCTAGTCGTTAACTTTCGATGACACTTAAAGGAACTAGGTATATCACCTTAAAGAGAAGAGAAAAGAAAAAAAGAAAAGAAAAAGAGAAAGAGATAAAGATAGAAGTAGAAGAAGTAATAGAAGTAGTAGTAGAGGAAGAAGAAGACGAAGAAGAAGAAGAATTGGAGAGATCTGAGAGTCGATGGAGGTATAGATAAGAACAATTTCCAAGGTGGCACGTTATCAAAGGCACGGATCTCCGTTGCGTGTTGGCTCCTCTATCCATATCCCAATCGGCTATTCGGCCTCTCGACAAACGAATCGTCGATTTTACGAAAGCCGAATTATCGGAGATTGCGGAAAACGAAACTATATGTATGTTTGTGTAAAAGAGAAAGAGAGACAGACAGAGAGAGAAAGAGAGACAGACAGAGAGAGAGAGAGAGAGAGAGAGAGAGAGAACGAAAATGAGAGAGAAGAAAGATCGAAAGAGAAGACACTCAGAAAGAGATAGAGAAACAGAGATAAATGAGAAGTAGGAGAAGAAATCAAAGCGGAGCATCGCGAGGTTACGAGCGATAGCAAAATCGTTTTCCTTTTGCTCGACTATTCACTATCTCTATCTTTCTGTCTCTCTCTCTCTCTCTCTCTCTCTCTCTCTCTCTTTCTCTCTTTCTTTCTCTCAAGTTTATCTGCAATTCGTGCTACGGGTATATAAGGACCGACAGGCATTCTGTGCACTTAGCACGTTCGATATCACGATCGTTCAACATCAAATTATCCCTTATATTGGTCTTATATAAGAAGATAGATATAAATATCTCGAGATATGGGTAAGAAAGTGTCCTTTTTGGTGCTAGCGTGTGCAATACTCCACGCAATTTATTTCCACGAAACCAGTGCTTATCCATTGGATGAAACTGGGGATAAAATTCTGGCAACGAATGGACAAGGGACAACGAATAATGGAAAGGATGATTCTAAGAGCGATTCGTCGTCAAGTTCCGAGGAGAAAACGGCCGTAGGCGATCCTGGCAAAGTTACGAGGTCGCTAGGATCCACGGAAGATCTGAACGAGGGATTGTTGGAAGAAGAGAAAGCCAGGACGAGTAGGCTGATATTGGAGAGACAAGTGCGTTCCTCTAAAAAAAGGAAAAATAAAAACGACGACGACGACGACGACGACGATGACGATGATGACGATTGTAGCAGCAGTAGCAGTAGCAGCAGCAGCAGTAGTAGCAGTAGCTCATCCAGCGACGATGACGATAAGGATAAGGACGATGACGATAACTGTGACGATGATAACGGTAAGAAGCGTAGAAAATCAAGAAAGAAGAAAAGAAAAGATTGCGACGATGACGACGACGACGACGATGACGACGACGACGACGATAAAAATGGTCGAAAACATAAAAGAGAAATTCCATCCCTTGAACCAATTGCGGAAAAGAAAAAATCTATGATGTTCGAAATGGGAGAAGTATTTTCATTGGAAGGATCGATAAAGCATCGAGTGACTCGACGTTCAAGAAAAACGAAGAAAAATCGCAATGGTTGTAATCCTAATACCATATTACAAGAGAAGAAGAATACAAAATTGATAGAGAATAGTAATAGCACGAGTTTACCGCGTGCCGTTTAAAATCGTACGATTAAAGATATACGAATAACTTAAATGGGTATCTCAGGATCAAAAGTCTTATCGAAAAAAAAAAAAAAAAAAAAAGAAAAAAACGAAAAAAAAAAAAACAAAAAAATTGATTAAGTAATAAAGCGAAAAGTTTATTTTTCAACGAGAAATTTTTGCTCTAATCATCCTCCATCTTTATCATCCTAAATCCTTACCCAATCTATCAACGTTTTTTTTTTTTTGCATTTTTGACGAATATATCGATGGATCTAATACAAATGGATCTTGGACTTCCAATCCGAGAAATTCTCTTGGACGTACTTACGCGCTTGGCATTCTCGAGACGTTCTCCTTTCGCCTAGCTGTGAAAGTGGCCGCCGTATTTTTCGCGTTTATGTCCACGTCGACGATCCAATCGGGGCTGCTGGATGAGGCATCGAGGATTTTCACACCTGACTTCACTCGTGCTCTAAAACAAAGAAGACGATATACATATATACGATATATATATATATATATATATATATATATATATATATTATAATTGATGTATGTGTATGTGTGAATATATATATATATATATATATATATATATATATATATATATATATATATATAAATAGAGTCATCATTCACGTTTGCATCTATTGTATCTATCTCTTTTCTTATTTGCGACTATGCTAATTAATAAAAATTTTATCGTTTGCGACGAACTTCAACATTATAAATGTCTAGAGAACAAGAACGAAAGATTTATTATCGTTATTATTTCGCGATATTAATTTTTCTAAATTTCCTTTGTTGGGAATCGTATTGTAAAAAAAAAAACAAAAGAAAAAAGAAAATAATAACAATAACAATAACAATAATGGTAAGTATGTCAATTTTATTATTTCGTTATTGAATTTATTTATTACAACTCTCTTTGTTTAGCTTTATTCAAGATCAAAAAAGATTATATATATATAGAGGCCGTGCTTATCTCTATATTTTTCAATCTCTTTTTGTTCGTTACAAAGTCGAATAATATAATTTTTCGAAGAATCGTTTGCGATGAACTTCCAACATTTTTTCAAATCCTACGAACGAGAACTAACGAGAAGTTATCTTCGTTATTCGGTTAATAAAGCTAATTTTTATAAATTCGCTTTGTTGATAATTATAAAAAAAGGAAAAATATATATATATATATATATATATATATATATATATAGAGAGAGAGAGAGAGAAAGAAACAAAAGAAAAAAAAAAGAAAAAAGGAAAACAATGGCAAAAATATTAACTTCATTATTTCGTTATCGAATTTCTTTATTATAAATTCTCTCTGTTTGGTTTTATTCAAGATCATTAAAAAAGTATGAACCATTTTCTCTCTCTCTCTCTCTCTCTCTCTCTCTTTCTCTCTTTCTCTCTTTTTATGAAAAAAGAGAAACGAACGAGTGAGCCCGTAATGATACTCGTCGTCGATTTCGTTTAAACGGCGCGTTTAGATGGACGCGAATCATTAAAGAGATGCAGGGTGTTTTTAACGATGCGTATCCCTTTTAAGGGTCGCAGCAGTCTTTTTGCCGAATGCATTTGCATACGTAAAAACGATTATCCGGCACGCCTTGGCGCGGCGACGGCAACGCGTCGGAATAATGCGATTACAACCCTCATCAACGTTTCTACCCTCCACACCTCGTCCAATTATCCCTCTCGATTCCCAGCCGAGCGTTATCTTTGCAATGCCCGAGTACGTATTGGATTTCCGGCCAATCGCCGCGAACGCGATGTGGCACGGCACAGTACGGCACAGTACGGTACAGTACGGCACAGTACGGCACAGTATGGCAAAGCAGAGCACGGCACGGTATAACACGGTACAACACGAAAATATTTCTGTGATAGGTGTTCGTTTGGATATCGGCATGGCCGGTGGTTATTGCAATAATATCGCGGTTCTTCGCGTTGCAATTTCATTCGGTGAAGTGATGGTCCTACTACCAGGAAAATATTCTAACTATGTTTTTTAATATTGCCACGATGCATATTGCTAAGTACCTTTCCATCCATAGTTTCGTTACTACTCTTTCTCTCTCTCTCTCTTTCTCTCTCTCTCTCTCTCTCTCTCTCCTCTCTCTTTCTCTTTTTCTGTTCGTGAAAAATTTTAGAAATACCAAACACGGGGGCCGAATGAGAAAAAAAAATTTTTTTTCCGGAAGTAAAGGAATCAACTTGAAATTCCCTCCGAGCGATTTATTACCATGGTATTTCGTTCTCTCTATCTATCTCTATTTCTCTCTCTCTCTCTCTCTCTCTCTCTCTCTCTTTCTCTCTCTCTGTCCAATTACGAATACATCGCAGTATGCGAAAACACGATAATTAAAGACTCGCGTAAAAGTTAACTCGGACTAATGGAGGTAGCAAATAACTTTTTCGTCCATTCATTTTGTATGAAGAAAAAAAGGAAAAGAAAAAAAGAAAAACAGAAGAAAAAAGAAGAAAAAGAAAAAAGAGAGAGAGAGAGAGAGAGAGAGAGAGAGAATCTCAGCGCGTTACGGAGATGCGAGTTCGGTGAAATCAAAAATTCTTTAATCCTTTCCTATGCAATTGCGAACGACGAGATCTTTAAATAATTTTTCATAATTAAATATATCTCTCTTTTCACGCCTCTTCCCCCGTCTCTTCTCCCCCTTACTTTAAAGACGCCATCGTTAGTAATTTCAATTTCAATTTAACAATTGTTTCCCCATTCGTAATCCCTTCGAACATGATGATATTTAATAAGCGACAAATTTTCGTGGGAAACCAGCGATAGGGTTAAATCCGTATAAATTTGACGAAAAAGAAAAAAAAAAAAGGAAAAGAAAAAAAAAGAAAAAAAAAAGAAATAAAAAAGAAAGAAAAAATGGTTGGAACGAAAGGACTCTTTCGTATAACTTTGAACTACGTTAAGTGTGTTACACTTTTACTTCCCAGGAGTTTAACGAACGCGTTATGGATTACGTTAGTGAGAGTCAAGTGGTACTCTTTTAGGAAGTGAAAGCTTTTATAACCCTTTTCCAGCTCGATGTTCCATCCCTTACATGCCATTTCATCATTCGAATGTATTACGAGAATTTATGTTGTAAGAGAGTCTTATTCCTCTTTTCTCTGATCTCTTGGTTGGTCAATTCGTTTCGTCGGACGAATAGACTAATATAATCTTATCTCTGTCTCTCTTTCTTTCTTTCTTTCTCTCTCTCTCTCTCTCTCTCTCTCTCTCTCTCTCTCTCTCTCTCTCTCTCTCTGATTTATCTCGATCGCGTAACTCGATCGTCTTTACGTACTCTTGGGAGAATGCGTGAGTTAGCTATTAATAAATTCGCATAAGGAAAGTTCGAAAAGTACGAATGCTCTGTTGAAAGACACAAAGGTACGAGAAAAAAAAAAAGAAAGAAAAGAAAAGAAAAAAAAAGACGAAGACGAAGACGAAGAAGAAGAAGAAGAAGAAGAAAGAAAGATAAAAAGAAGAAGAAGAAGAAGGAGAAAAAAAAAAAGGAAAAGTAGATATAAATTATACGCATGATGTGAGAAAGAACATAAAAGAAATGGAACGAAAGGAATACCTTAGGAGAGATACGCGTTAAACGAAAAAGTAGAGATACTTTCGAACAGTTACTTACAAAAAAGAAAAAAAAAAAAAAAAAAAAAAAAAAGAAAAGAAAAACTTTGAAAAGTCTTTCAGGTGTCTTTCAGTTAGGAGATATCAAAATCTACGTATATACGTATGTATGTATGTATGTATGTATGTATGTATGTATGTATGTATGTACTATTATCCTACTTGTAAGATTTGCGATAGTACTTTTATCATATCACTGACGAAGTTGGAACAAAGAAATTCGTCGTGGAGGGGGTGAGGGGTTGAGGGTGGGTGGGGGAGGGGGAGAAATGAAAAAAGAAAAAAAGGAAAGAAAAGAAAAAGGACAAAAAAGATCGATCTTGAAGGTTTCTCGAAGAAAGCTCGAAAGGTCGGATTATTGAACTCGAGTGTGATTCTCATAACTGACGAGAGAGAGAGAGAGAGAGAGAGAGAGAGAGAGAAAGAGAAAAGAAAGAAAAGAAGACAAAAAAATGAAAAAAGAAATCGGAAATGGCTCATCTCGATTCCATTTTTACAATTTTAGAAGAACGCACTCTCTCTCTCTCTCTCTCTCTCTCTTATTCGCGTGGCAAGGAAATATATGATCGTCTTGAATCGTTCGCTCGAGGCTCGTGCCTTCTGAGGAACTTACGCTCCAATTCGCGCGAGCCGGGTCACGGGGTCGTTATTACACGCGAGCTTACGAATGCGAGGAAGGCGGAAGAGAGTAGGAACAACGCGTCTATGCGACGCCAACGATAGTAACTATCTCTAAGAGTAGAAACTCGAGGATCCAAACTGACGCTCTTACTCGAGGAATATTTATTTTCTGTCTTTTGATCGCGTTTTCCTCGTCGTCGAATCGTTATACGTCGACTGACGAAGAGTCAAACACATTTCCGAAATAAATTCTAGTAGTTCTAGTAGAAATGGGGGGGGGAGGGAGATAAAAGAAAAAAAAAAGAAAAAAAGAAAAAAAATAAGCGTCAAAGCGGACTCTACTACTATCACCACCGATACAACATGGAAAAAGGAAGGTAAGAAACTTTTCGATCTTCTTCAGGATAGAATCGTCTTCAGAGAGAGAGAGAGAGAGAGAGAGAGAGAGAGAGAGAGAGAGAGAGAGAGAGAGAGAGAGAGAAAGAGAGAGAGAGAGAGAGAGAGAGAAAGAGAGAGAGAGAGAGAGATAGAAAGAGAAAGAGAGAGTTGCTTAACTTAAATTCCATTGGATCGTGACATCGATCGTCTATCAAATTTTCTTTTAAAATCGAGTAAAATATACCGTCGATTTTTCAACATTTTATTTTACCCCGATACATTTCTTTTTTCTTATTTCGAAGCAAGGAAAGTTTAAAGTTAACCTTTAGGCGTTGACCTCGTTACATATTATCCAAGTACTATTTAAATTAATCGTTCTAACTTTTATAAATTCGATCGTATCCAGAACTATTTATAAGTTTACGCGAATATGACGTGAACGTTTAATGATAGATACAATTATTTATAAATATTCTATAAACGACAGAACTATACATATATAATAATAATAATAACAACAATAATAATAATAATAATAATAATAATAATAATAATAATAATAATAATAACAACAACAACAACAATAATAATAATAATAATAATAATAATAATAATAATAATAATAATAATAATAATAATAATAATAATAATAATAATAATAATAATAATAATAATAATAATAATAATAATAATAATAATAATAATAATAATAATAATCTGAGAAAAAAAATATTCCCATTATGGTTCGAGAGCAATCGAATATATATATATATATAAAAAAAAAAAAAAAAAAAAAAAAAAAAAAAAAAAAAAAAAAAAAAAAAAAAAAAAAAAAAGAAAAAAAAAACAAACATTTTATTTTCGTATTTTTATCGAATAATTGTCGACGTCAAAACTTTATTAGACATTTATAAAGTTTTATCCACAATCATAAAATATACGATTATTATCGATAACCAAGAATTGTGATACTTGAAATGTATTATACTATGCATATCCATACTCTTAAAACTCGACGCATTGCGGGTTAATACTTTGTCTGCCACGTTCTCGGTTAAAGCCTCGAGAACTCGGGCGCGACTTGCGGGCGCGAGTTTAAACTTGCGACGATTCGTTTAACAAGTACTTAATAGTTCCTTAACTATGACTTAACTTGCCCGGAAGAAAATTTCTATCGTCGGGAATAAATTAGTGCGATACGTCGTTAAGTTGTCGTTCTCAACCCCTCCCCCACGCCCTCCCCCCACCCCAACACCTCTCTTCTCTAACCACTCTCCTTTAAAAGTCAACAATACCAACGAATCTTACGTAGAGTTCGTACAAACTCGTTGGCCCTTCCGTCTGTGAATACAAATAAATGGCTGGTAGGTAAGTAGATACGTTAGGTAGGTAGATAGGTAGATAGGTAGGTAGGTACGTTAGGTAGCTACGCTAGGTAGATTCTATTACTTGAAAAGCTTGCTCTCGAGAGTCGAGAAAAAGGAAGATCTTCCTATAAAACGAAATATGGTAATTCACAATACTCCGGTATCATCTATTTGCGTTAAAGGAAACGTCGGTACGATCCTTGGAAATATTATTATTTACTATTGTGACTTATACAAATTAGATATTTCATTAATTCGTAACGTTTTAACGTACTATAGAATTAATTAATTAACGAACTAACGAACGTACGACAAGAAATTATCGAATTAAATTTTTAATTATAATCAATTAAATTTAAATATTTCATCTCTATCAAAATCAAAATCGAATCTGCGAATTGATATATCCTTATGAGACTTTATTTGACTTTACGAGATTTCATGTTATAACTAAACAAATGAATTAATAACATTTATTAATTTTACGATGTTTAACGAGTTAAAAGAGTAAACTCGTTTAAATGGAAATAATGATTCTTGATTGAGCGTGTTCTGTTACCACAAACGGTAAACCGGAACGTAGATAGGAAAAGAGTGGTAGGGGATGGGGTGGGATAGGTCGGGGGGATAAGGGCGGCGGCGAGGAGGAAGGGGAGGGGGCGCGGTAAGGGGAAATTCGATAAATGTTATCGGGCCGTTTGTTTTAAAAGTTTCTTTGATTTATCGTCAATGCTAAGGGATAATTTACGAACCGATATCTATTCTATGATCGAGAATGTAAGCGATAACTTCGTATGTAATATTTACGACGATCCATCCCGTTAGAATTCTATATCGTATCATTTTCTTACGTAGATAATAAAATGAACATTTTTGCGAGGTTATTCGAGATCATGTGCATTGACTGAAGTGGCCTTAATTTTTCTTTTCTTTCTTTCTTTCTTTCTCTTTTTTTTTTTTTTTCTTTTTTTATAAATCTAAAAAGTAGCTTACGAATAATAAAATGTCACGCATATAGAAGTACCGGCGTTAAAAGGGTAAACGATTCTCTCGCATTGTCGTGCGTAGAAAGTCGTCGTGTGTACGCGGTTAACGCGGGAAACGGCTAATGCGGTATTATGTTCGAGGGGGATAAAGAAATGAATGGCTGCGGTGCGGTATTAGGGGTGCGGAGAAAATGAGTAGGAGAATAGAGAGAGGGGGGGAGGGAAGGAGGGAGGAAGGGAGAAAAAAAGAAAATAAAGAAAGAAAGAAAGAAAGAAAGAAAGAAAGAATGGGGTTGCGACGTTAAATGGAGCTCAAGCGGGACTAAACCAGGCTCTCTCTCTCTCTCTCTTTCTCTTTTTTTCTCTCAATGGGGCTGCGTTTGCTAGGCAATTACAACATTTGGATTGAGTTATTTCCGGCTAGTCTGCTGATCCCATTTACATAAAGATCACTCGAATGATCAAACTGCCCACTGCTACGTAACGTTCGAAATATCTTTGTGGTCTGGCTAATCAATATTATATACATATATATATATATATATATATATATATATGTATGTATGTATGTATGTCTTTCTCACTCTCTTTCTCTCTCTCTCTCTTTTTCTCTGTTTCGCTCTTTATCTTTTTATTTTTATTCTCTTATTTAAAGATGATCCGATGCAAAAATGATGAAAATGATCTTAACTTTCGATGACCTCGCTTGACCTTTTCTCCTCCACCTCTGGCTGTCTGTCTACGTAACCGATAACGTTGAGTTCGCTTATCCATTGTGGTATCGCCATTGAAACGGGTCACGTCAAACTGTTCCGTAGCCGATGACAACGTCAAAGAAGAAGAAGAAGAAGAAGGAGGAAAAGAAGAAGAAGAAGAAGAAGAAGAAGAAGAAGAAGAAGAAGACGACTACGTCACTTTTCCTAACCGGATGTTGCGTTTCTCACGCGGATTGGTAGAAATGCAGATAGCATTAGACGTTGTAAATGTGGTAGAGGCGCTGGCCTCGTACGTAGTTATCTTTCCTTTCTCGGGACTTATCGATTTCTTAACGAGAGAAACGTTAAAAGTACTTACATAGACAAATAAAGATTTAATGATTTATCCGATTAGAAAATTTCTTTTCTTTTTACATTGATACACTTCGTATTATTAGGTAATCTCGTAAATCGATAAACGATGAGAAAAAGATAAATGAAGATGAATAAAGGAAAAAAGAGAGAGACAGAAAGAAAAAAACAGAGAGAGAGAGAGTGGGAGAGAGAGAGAGAGAGAGAGAAGTAGAAAAACGTGATAGAAACGTTTCAGAAATATTACTTATATATCTACACGTTACAGGTGCTCAAGCTTAACGCGAAATCTTGGAAGACGAAGAACGGCAAGTGCTCCAGGGAACGTGACGGAACGGAGCGAGTTTCTTGAGAAATACGCACGACGTGAGATCTGTGAACGCTACTTGAACGAAAGAACGAAAAAACGAACCCTTGGCGTAGGACCGCAATGATTTTTATCCAAATAAAAATGAGAAGAATCAGGAGAAACGGAGCGTATCAGGAAGGAGAAAAAGAAAAGTCGGTTGGCTTTATTCGCGTGAATCAAGGAGTTACAATGTAAAGTCGACTCGAGATATTCTTTCTTCATCTCTCTCTCTCTCTCTCTCTCTCTCTTTCTCTCTCTCTCTCTTTCTCTTTCTCTCTATTTCTTTCTCTTTCTCTCTCTCTCTCTCTCTCTCTCTACCTGTCTATCTATCTCCCTTTCTTTTTATAACGGAAAGAACCTCGATATTTTGCCTTTAAATTCTTACTAAGGTATTTATAATTTACGACTTTATAAAAGCCCCGGTTAAAGAATGAGAGATGCTCGTTTAAAGATCGTAAAAAGGTAAGAAATTTTGTTGCAAGTACTCTACATTTTTTCCTTTTTAGTAACGCTTTTAAAGTTACGCAAATTTTCAGATAAAAGAGAGAGAGAGAATGAGAGAGAGAGAGAGAGAGAGAGAGAGAGAGAGAGGGAGAGAGAGAGAAATAGAGGGAGAGAGAAAAAAAGAGAAAGAAACGAACGTACCTGAGATAGACTGCTACGACCAAAGGTGGGCGTTCCTGTCTGAGATCTGTCAGCTTGGCCGGATGTAGGAAGGCCGGAACGTGTAGCCTCGATCTGGGATATAACGGGCCATGAGGTACGAGTAGCGTGAGAGAATCGTCGGCCTTGAGCTCCTTGTAGGCCGCACGATTTGGCGCAAGGGGCACTTGGCCGAGTGGCGTCACCGGTTGAATTTGCACTCTTGGCCGGCAGAAAGCTGCCCCACCGTCTGAATTGCCAGAGGCAACGTCCTCGGTACGTGGTTCCAGTACGGAGTAAGCGACTTGTACGAGCCTCGGCAAGCTCTTCGCGACCTTGACGCGTCCAGATGCATCAGGAGGAGGTAGAGGAGCCCACCAATCCGCTGGTATTGTGATTTGGGCCAAGCAAACGCCGTTCTCACCGTCCGGGCTACATGCTGCCGTTAGGGCAGTATTAGTTGAGGTTGATGAGGATGAGGATGACGATCCTGATGACGAAGACGACGACGACGATGACGACGACGACGACGACGACGACGACGACGACGACGATGACGATGATGATGACGATGACGACGATGACGTCGAAGAAGAACCGGAGGAACTAGAATATTCCCTTCTTCCGTTATTATTCAAATTCCTCAAGGGTGTCGCCAAACTTGCATGGAGAACAACGCAGACCCTTTGATGACGAGCAAGGAGCAATTGTCTTCTACCACCGGCCTCACTTCCAGCGTGGAATAAAACCCGAAGAACCGGAGAATCCCTGGGGACGCTGTTACCAACTAAATGCGCCGACATGTCTAAATGTCTCGCGCCCAATTCCTGAGCGTCCATTATCGTCGCGGCTGTTAAATTGCGTCTGGTCTCAGGTCCTGGTAAAGTGTCCAATGGATCGGGTACGATATAACGGGCTGGTACCGTCTGCTTCGTACTGAAAGGACCATAGCTCGCTCTAACTGACACTGGTTCGCTAGTTTGAAAGACGGTGAACTTGTCTATTGATAAAACCGAGCCTGGTGGTGGCGATGGTACTGAACCAGCACTGTTCGATGCCGATATGCTTGCACCTGTACCCGTCGATGACGCAGCTATCGCTGGTATTGTATCCGTTCGAGATGGGTAATAGGGTCTTGGTGTGTGCTTCAAAAAGAATCCGCCATCTTTGTTCTCGAAATGGACCTCCACCGATGCCGCAACATCTGTAATCAAAAAAAAAAAAAAATATACATTTTATACTATATTAAAAATTTACCGGAAATCAATTATTTTTTCTTTTCTTTTTTCTTTTTCGTTTTCCTTGATTCCGTACCTCGTCGGATTCAATTTTTTTTTTTATGCATTTAGGTATTTACGTATTTATGTATTTAAATGTAACATGATTGATGATGAAAAAGCTCGAATAAGTCTCTATCGCATCGTATGTAAGTTGGTAAGCTTGCATGAGTAAGGGTTAAATTTGCATTCTGAGAAGAACGATGCTTAGGATCAAGGGGTTATACATCGGGACGTTGTTCTTGTAAACCAAGTGCATCAGCAATTTCGTTCCGCTTCGGCAGACATTTAGAAATGCTTTTCCGCTTTCGTGAATATTGATTCTCATGGGGATATAATGATCATCGAAATGAACTATTCTGAATAATGATTTTGAAATTTACAGATCAGGGTTATATAAATATATATATATTTTTTTTTATTCGATTATATATATATATATATATATATATATATATATATATATATATATATATATTAATCGAATCAATTGACACGTTAATAACAATTTCATCCTTATTGTTATATAAATCATTAGGATTTCGAAGGATATATTTCTCATGTCAAGTTTTACGATTTTAGTGGAACAATAGTAGTTCGGTCTCGTAAAATTTTTCATTTTCACCAGCCTCAATAAAGGTATCACGTTGGTATACCCTTATAAGCTTCCTCCTTGTTACTACTACTTGCGAAGGTAGAGAGATATTGAATTTGAAACTTAAGCTTCATCGGTGCTCCAGCGACTCGATTAATCTTAAGACACGTGTGCCTGAAACGTAACTATACCTAAGCTTTGAAAAGAAATACGGATCTATTCATAGTACGCTTAGTAGTGACCGGGACCTAGTTCCTGACTTATAACTTACGATCGATCCAAGAAAATTGCCTTGTTCGATCCATGCACATCGATCTATATGCGATAAATGGATGCTTTATTACGAAAAAAAAAAAGAAAGATATAAAGAATAAAAAAAAAAAAAAAAAAGAGAAGAGTAAAAGAGATTATATATATTATATATTTATTATATATATATATTATATATATTATATATTATATTATATATTATTATATTATATATATAATAAATTATATATATTATTAGGTTGGAAACTATGAAACGGGCGTTTTTGTTTAGTTTTTTATTTTCATTCAACGCCCGTTTCATAGTTTCCAACCTAATATATATTATTATATATATATATATATATGTATGTATATATATATATATATATATAATTCTTCTTAATTCTCAATGTTTTACAAACGAAAATGATATTTCTTAAATGCCATTTTAGATTTCTCATCTGATATCGTTCATTTTTATCACCATTCAAGCTAGTATATAATTTCGTTTGTCCTTCTATTTTTATTTCTTTTTTTTTTTTTCTTTTTTTTTTTTTTTACGGAAATAGAAAGATCTACAGAAGAAAATGTCTAACGAAAAGCCGTTTCGTACTTTGTATTTATTTATTCGTAGAGAAAATCTATATCTATATAGTATAATATACTTGAAAATCTTGTGATAGTATCGGAAGTGAGGGTTTCGAAACACGGTTGCCTTTAGCGGCCCGTAATTCTCGCACGGTCCCGAGAATTCAGCCCTTGAATATAAACGACGTTAGTGCCGTTCTGTTAACGGGTCTTATAGGTGCCCCGTGGCGCTTACATCGTGCGACGTTGGCAAACTTGTTGGCGGTTCTGAATAGAGATTACACCATAATAGCGTAGAGTCTACCACCCCTTTGGATCATAGTGTCCACGCGAAGCCCTCGGCTTTGACAAGCAATTTCTCCGGATTTGCTCTGACACCAAGGAGTGTCTACGTACATACCTAGTTGAAACGTATACTCTAATTATGCGATCGATAGTTAAACGATAACCGAGAACAAACATATATATATATATATATATTGTATTTCTTGCATTCTATTATTTATACTAAAACAATTCAAATTCACTTCTCACCCTTTCTCTCTCTCTCTCTCTCTCTCTTTCTCTTTCTCCCTCTCTTTCTCTCTTTTGTACGCGATCATTAATAATTTGTTTGAAACGTATTGTAACTTCATTGTGTTTACGGCATTATAGATATGCATATTACTCGTTGTTTGTTACATCTAATCCTATGAAATAATTCGCGAAACTTTGGACGAAATCGTACGAGCCATCCACCTCTCGGGGGAAGGGGAGTGGGGAGGGGGACTTTCGAAATCGTTACGGAACAATATGGTTGATAGCCGCGCCTTTTGTGTTAAAAAGTTTTGCATCCAGTAACTTCTTCCTTTCCTCTCTCTTTCTCCCTCTCTCTCTCTCTCTCTCTCTCTCTCTCTCTCTCTCTCTCTCTATCTCTTTCGTTCTTCTTCTTCTAGCAAACTTTCCCCTATATACTGGATATTCATTTCGCATAACAAAGTTTTCCGTAGATACGCTCCGAAAGGGGAGACACTTTCTTCCTTCTTACATTTCTCCCAACGAAAGTAGCAAGTTTATCGACTGAGATTTCTGTTATACAAGCGCGCAAATGTACGATAACGTTACCGCATACCTCCATTCTCCCTTTCCAACCCCACTCACTCCTCGACCATCTCCATCTCTCAATCCTCTTCAATCTCTCTTTGATCGATATATCGATGATACTAAATTCCCTGGATATATCGTCGATAGAGATTTTCTATGTCGAGAGATAAATAAAAAATCTTTTTCGTCCTTTTGTTCCTTTTTTTTTTTTCTTTCTTTTTTTTTTCCTTTTTCTCTTTTTCTTTTCTTTTTTTCTTTTTTTTTTTGCAAAGATAATTCGACGAAGAAGAAGAAGAAGAAGAAGAAGAAGAAGAAGAAGAAAGGAAAAAGTGTTACGGACGATGTGGTGTGCGAGTGGTGTGAGTACGGTGTGGTTTTGGAACGAGTAAGGGGTTGGAGGTCACCGAACGAACGGTCTACTTTCATTAATTCCAAAAACGACGACATTTAATTACAACGTGTATAACGTGACAAATTCTGTTACGACATCTGCAACGTCGTCGTGGCATTTAATCATCACATCGCTTGGGCGTACTTTAAACGCCGTTGGAATGCGAATAAAACGGAGCAACCTCGTGGATCCTCTCGTAACGAATTCTGAAATTAAAGGTTGTGAAAGAGTTTGAAGAAACGATTAAAAAAAAAAAAAAAAAAAAAAAAAAAAAAAAAAAAAAAAAAAAAAAAAAAAAAAAAAAAAAAAAAAAATAAAAAGGCAAAAGAAAAAGAAGAAGAAAAGGGAGAGAAAGAGAGAGAAAGAGAGAGAGAGAGAGAGAAAATTGAAAGTTCGATAAAAGTTCGTGCCAATCATTAACTCGTACTTTCTTCTTCCGCCGAAAAATGAGCGTCGACGTTCGAATCGCTATTTATCTTGGAACCTTCGTGTCCAGAAGACTTCCAAACGAATGATTTATTCTGGAAAAAGTCGACATCGTCGGGACGATCATTCTTCTCGAGTTTAAAAAAATGCCGAGAAACGTTCAGGGCGTTCGTAGCTCGTCGTCTTGTTAGTTTGAAGTCCACTTTAAAAATGTCTCTCTCTCTCTCTCTCTCTCTTCTTTCTCTCTCTCCGATATATATACATATATATATATATATATATATATATATATATATATATATATATATATATATATAGCATAAAGTATTATCTACGTGAAGGAGACGAAATTGAGAAAGATTATTTTTTATTTTTTCATTTTTTTTTTTTTTCGTTGAAAGAAGTATATAAGATTAAAATCTAATATTATTTAGATAATCAGAGAATATTATAATGACGTCATAATTATCCTTGATGATCAATAGCTTTAACAGTTTAAAAGTTGAAGAGAAAAATTCTTTAGTTATGTAGAAAAATTTTTAATGAAGGAACAGCGATTAAAAAAATCTCTCTCTCTCATATATATATATATATATATATATATATATTTTTTTTTTTTTTTTTTTTTCTAACTCTTTTTCTAACTCTCTCGTTCTCTTTCGAGACGATACGAAGGGATAGATTTATATACATATGTACGTTCGCAACGTTAGAACATTTCGTTTGAAACAGTCATGGAAAATAGTGTCCCCTGACTAGTAGGAAAGTTTGTGAAGGGAGATGGTAAGTACGTACGTACCTCTTTGAGAGTTTAAACTTGGAAGATGCAAAGGTGAGAAAAGAGGAATAAGAGTAGGAGTAGAAGATAAGAGAAAGAGGAGGATGAGGAGGAGGAGGAGGTGAGGAGGACCAGTTGTAAATCGGCATGAGAAACGGCAGGGCATGGTGAGAGGCTCAAGCTCGAATCGAACATAAATTTTATCGTAAATCCCCGAGTAAGCGCCAGCTGCCCACGCTCGCCTTCACGTAAAATGGTGGTGGAAAACGCGGAGAAAAGGAGGACCGTGAAACCTCCCTTCCATTCCCGCTCACCCGTCCGTTCACCAACTTCTACTACTCTCTTTCCTTCTCTTTCACTTCACCCTTTTTGCCTTCGCTTATCCTACTCCACGCCACTTATTTTACTCTTTACTTCCTCCTTTTCTATCCTTCTCTTCTATCCTCTACACTTCTTCATTCTCCTTAAATCTCTTTTTCTCGGCCTTGCGAATCTATTTGCATAATAACCACACCGGCAAGATGATAATTCTTCGATCCATTTGAGTAATTGAATAATTTTTAACAACTCCTTTTACACTCTCGTACCTTCACACTTCATGTATATATATATATATATATATATATATATATATATATATATACACGATAATTGTTATCGAGTGTATCGAAAAAGAGTTCTCATCATTATTTTTGCAAATATTATTAGGCTTATCTTGATGAGTAATTTTTTCGTACTACATAAAATTTCGTCTTGCAAACGAGAGAAAGAGAGAAAGAGAGAGAGAGAGAGAGAGAGAGAGAGAAAAAAAAAAGAA